ATACAGGGGGGAACAATTCTACCTATGAGATCGACCTCGGCAATCTTACCGTTGAAGTAAGTTTTAGAGACCTGCTTCTGTTTAGTTTTGTAGATCACACTGCCTTTTTTTTAATGTTTGGCATTTGTGTCTAGAGGAATATTTACAATATCTGAATTGAGCACAAAGGAATATTGGTGAGAAACTGGCTCTTGAGCATGGATGCCAAGAGCAGGAATCAGGAATCTGAAAAAGAAAATGGCTTAGGCATATCACTTGAAACGTTATTCAAAACCTATGAATAAAAGAGCTATGAAGAGTTGTGCTCCTCCCCCTCACCCCCTCCCCTACCCCCAGGGTATTACATTAAATACTATTTTATTTCTGTTACAAGTGAAGACAAAGTTTCTGAATTGGGGAACGTTTTTTTAGGATCAGCAGTTTCTCCTCTTGTTGTTATTGACAATAATGATGAGGAAAACTGATTTTAAAAGGATGAACTAAATTACCAAATGCAATGATGAACAAGCAGGGTATAGTATGAAGCCCATTACGATGGGAGTGAGACTACTATAGTTTTGAAAAAGAAGCAACTCTTTCTTTGCTATTTTTTTATTTTGCTTATTACTAGAGAAATGTCCTGGGAAGCAGATTTTTTTTCTCAAGGTAAAGATGTACTGAAAAATAACTGATAGATAAATGGTAATTTGCTGTTTTTCAGATGTACTTATTTTGTTTGATTCAAGATATAGGTTTGGAGCTCTCAGTATACATCACCTTTGTTATTTCTGTTATCGTCATTACTTGTTTTATTTGTATATACTAACATGATTTCTTGTCTTGCCGTGCACCCTTCCTCAACAACTAAAAGGACACAGAGGATGAGCCTGTGAGTACAATCAGCACTAATGGGGTGGCTCCACAGGATGAACCACCCCTAATACTGGAGGAGGTTACAGCACCTGTGCCGTTGGTGACACCTACACAGGCTGCCAAGCTCATGGCTCAGGTGCAAGATAGTCACATTTCTGTCAAGTGAGTATAGGCTGTACAGGGGCTTCAGAGGTGTGTCTGTCTCTAGTGTGCCCTGATTTTAGTTTTGTGTGTACTTTTTGTTTTTTAGATTTAGCAGATTTGTCTGGTGCAGCTGGCCTTCAGCATGAACAAAAGTTATATTCTTAATCCTTTATACATGCTCAATATTATTAGGGTAGCATATGGCTAGGCTATAGTAATTGCATTAATTTATTTACTTGTCCATATGGTGGTTATTTGTTACTGATTACAAAAGGTACAAAGATGAATTATAAACATTTTAATCCTTAACCCACTCACGCCGGGTACATTTTGTAGCCAAAATTTAAAAAATCCGGGCGGCTACAAAATCGGCGGGCGGAGCTTCCCCGGAGTCTGTCCGCCCGCCCGGCCACGCGCCGCTTCTGCCTTGGAGGGCAGCCCCGAGACAGCATCGCACTGGCGGGCAGCCCGACATTGTTTATTTTTCCCCGTGTCTCATATATGTGACACCCGGGACGAATGGGTTAAAGAAAGAACATCCACTAGTTAGGCTTGTATAGGTGAAAGCACTGTGCAATTTTACCAATGTTGAAAAGGTATGAATGAGAACGAATATCTTCACAATACAAGAGATGTATTTGACCGGTTTCGATTATATCTTCGTCAGCTGACCGATGTATTGTCGTGGAATATGTATAGGCTGTCAGATGATGATTGTGATGTCAATTTATATAATGTAAATATTGACCTGTCCAATCCAAAACGAAAATGTAACATTATGGACTGTTCCCAGACAGTTAACAATGATAACAAACGAAACGGGGGAGTGCAGGTATGGGATGATTGGTCGAATTAGAAAAGAGAGATAATAGCAAAGACAAAAGTGTCTGTGCAGCACAATTCTAGTCAACCCCATGCCACTCCTACCCCCAGCCTGCTGGCTTGTCCTCTCCCTTGTCTTTCTACTGGTGCCATGCCCTCCTCCACATTCAACACCTCATCTCCAGTTACATTAAATGTCCATAAATCAGCATTGGATAGAAAACAAAATCTTATCTGGAAATTTATGTTGACTAGAGAAAAGGAAGATGTCTGTTTTTGAGGAAAGTAAGCTGTTATAAATTTTTCATACCCTGAATATGGTGCTTGCAGTGCTCAAGGAATATAGCAAAATCTCTTTTTTGGACAAGCTATTGTTGCTGGTAACCCCATCAGTGAGGTGGTTTCAGGGCAAAGGTAGAAAGGCAGGTTAGCATGACAGATTCATTTAAGCAACATAGAAATTAACACCATTTCTATGTATCTGTTATTTACAAAAGTTTATTATGGGAGTGCTTAATCACATTGTGTTTCTAAGTAACACATGAGAAAATTGTGCTTTTTGAACAAGCAGTCAAGAATTTATTAGCTTTATAATTTTGATGTGTTATTTTTGAAACTATTTTTTGCACTTTGAAAATTACAGAAAATATAATGTTATAGTCACTTTGACTTTAGAAAAAAGTGTCAGAGTGTAACAGAATTACCAAAAATTATGTAGGAAGGAGCACATTCATTGCTGTTATTTTTTGGAACACTTATTTTTATGTAGTCAAAACAGTGTCACTGTTTTGTGTGTTTTGAAATTTGATAAACCTGTGTCTAAGGAGTTCTTTGTACACCATTTAAATATTCACAGGTTAAAGCTTGTGTCTCTTGAGTCTATATTATAATCTCTGGATTCGTTCAAGGTGAAAATTTGTGGATAACATCATGATGTCATCCACAAAATAAAATTGAGCTTTCATATTAATGCTATGTCAATATTCAAAATTCACATTATTCCCTATATTCAAAATCTTGAATCTGGAAATACAATTTTAGATAAATTAGAATAAATTTTAAAGAAATAAATATCAGTCTCCTTAAGGGTAACATAGATGAAAAGAGGTACTTATTCAAAATACTTTTTGTAATTATGCATAGTATATATGTCATATATTAATGTACTAAAGTGGAACAGTGAAACACACAATTTATGCAAGCAATGATACAGCTATGAAAAGACTACCCAAAGCACACACTGTAAAGTTTGCAAATATGAAGGGTCACCTGTGATGAAATTGGGCAGTCCGTGTAAACGCCAACAATTAACATGGGTTGCAGCTGGGTGTTTACCTTTTATAAAGGAAAATATATTGAATTGTATGTTCAACTGAACTGCTTCCAGCTTCAGGTTCGAGGAAAAGATCTTTACAAATGGCCAGAAACCTCCACTGATTTGTGGATCATGCCAGAAGGAAGGCCACTGCAAGGCAGACTGCCGGGAAGATGAGCTTCCCCCACTTGTGCGCCTGCCACCCATGAACAACCACTTCATTAACCAGCTCACAGCGATCTTTGAGCAACTTACGAGTATGTTTTGCTGCTCTCATGTTATATCTGAAATAAGAATTTTTTCTTCTGGTACATATTTATTGTTGTTAGTTTTTGCCTTGTTCACAAAATGAGCATTGTTAGTACTGGTATGTTCTGCATATCATGTTTTATCCTGATTTTTATGTAGTTGATGTCATATAGATAGGAAAATCTTGCCAATGATAATATCTCCTCTCTTACCTTCCCATCTGTAGAGGACTTTGAGCCCTCTGTTGAGGAAATTGAAGAACGTGACCGCATTGTTTCTGATCTTGAGGCCTACATCAAGCAGTCCTTCAGTGGTGTTCAGCTGAAGTTGTTTGGCTCATCTGCCAATGGCTTTGGTTTCCAGCGCTCTGACTTGGACATCTGCCTCACCTTCAAGGGGAATCCAGAGGGAAAGGTGAGATAAATGAGTGTGTGGCAAAGAGAGAAAGAGGAAAAGAAAAGAAGGATAAGAGAGAAGGATTAGAGGGCATTAGACTCCCCTCTGCATAGCCCCACAAATGGTTGCAGTAAACTATCACTGTGGCTATCATAGTAATCTTAGGCCCACTGGATGCGATATATTAATAGACTTTGCAAAATTGATATTATCTCCTATAGTTGAACAGAACTAATTCATACCAGGCATTTCCTGATTTTATAAATTGAGATGAATATATCTTAACCCCCTAGCACTGGTATATTTTAAAGCTGAAAATAATAGTTTCCGGACAGCTTCAAAATCGGCCGCAGCTCATGACGGAATCGGAGCACAAGCTCCAATCCAGTGTCACACCAGCGGGACGCCTGGCAATGTTTATTTTTCCAGGTGTCTCATACGTGGGACACCTGTCATAATGGGTTAAGTATTTGTATATTTTAAGCGTATTCCTTTCCAGTTAAATGAGCTCAAAGCTTGTACTCCTTCACTCCCCCAGGACATAGATCACATCCAGATAATTGAAGCTTTGGCAGACAAGTTGAAGAGATACCGCCAGTGTAACCATGTGTTTGCAATCACAACAGCCAAAGTTCCCATTGTGAAGTTTGCCATTCGTCGTGCCTGCCTTGAGGGGGACCTCTCTCTCTACAATACTCTTGCATTGCAAAATACGAAGCTCTTAGCAACCTATGCAAATATTGATCATAGGGTGAAGGTGGGTGTTTATGAAATTTTGGTTGATTCTTGGATGAATTAACATGCTGTGATAGATAGGTGGAAAATGTTCCATAGGGAAATAAAAGAAAAGAATAGAAAATAAGCAATAAAAATGTTATTTTTATATTTTTCTCTCCTTTTCCTTCCCATTCTAGTGCCTTGGATATGCAATGAAGTATTTTGCTAAGTTGTGTGACATTGGTGATGCTTCAAGGGGATCCTTGTCCTCCTATGCGTACATCCTGATGGTGCTTCACTTCCTCCAGCAGGTCAAGCCTCCTGTCATCCCAGTGTTGCAGGAAGTAAGTAGATGAGGTTGTAATTCCAGCATTCATTCCAATTCTAACTGTCCATATAGGTTGATCTTTATTTATCCCCGTACTAGATATCTGGTTCTTTTACCAACCTGGCACTGATTTCAAAATTTAAGGTTTCACATGTTTAAACTCTGAAACTATCAGAGAAACTTGATGAACAAGACCAAGAGTGTTCTTAACACAGATCGTACAGTTTGTTTTGCAGGCTACTATAGTCAATGCTTGCCAGAGAAATATTGAATATTACAAGGATAATGTCACATTATCAAAAACCATATGAAGCTTGCTAAGAGGTACTTGTCCCTTAGTAGTATGACTGTATTGTAAGAAACAGCAGCTCAGAGGCCAGGATTAATTCTTAAATAATGAAAACTGGACTTAACTTCTGGATGTTTATTAATCCTTAGACCACACACAACATCAGTTGATGTTGAGTGGTAAGGGACTTTCAGTGTGCATATCATCATATATTTTTTCCCCACCATAAGTAAAAAGTTTACACTTTTCCTTTGTGTAAACTAAAGGCCATTAGGCTTATCAGTGCCCACTTGTTCGTCATGCATATCAGCCTCATAGACTTGTTGTCTCCTTGGGCCATATTTTATTTAGCTGAACTAATTTGATATTAATCCAATGTCCAGACAAGGCTAACAAGAAGGAAACATATGCCTAGGGCTGAGGCCACACTGAACGTGATGTGATGTAAAGCGAGTTGCATTCTGTTGTGAAATAGTGTGGGAGGGGTGGCCACACTGGCCATGAGTGAGCACAGGACTTGCCAGGGTAACCAGGCATGATTCAACTATGTTAGTTTCGGTTATACGTCACAACACGCTCCTATAATAATTGTCATGATTATTGACATAATTATGGTAAATATGATTATCTATAATAAATATTGTATGCCTCATGTGTATGTATATGTATGTATGTATATATCTATGTATGTATGTGTATATGTATATGTATGTATATCTTTATTTATGTATATATATATATATATATATATATATATATATATATATATATATATATATATATATATATATATATGTATGTATGTATATATATATGTATATATATATATGTATATATATATATGTATATATATATATATATATATATATATATATATATATATATATATATATATATATATATATATATGTATGTATGTATATACACATATATATGTATATATACATATATATGTATATATATATATATATATATATATATATATATATATATATATATATATATATATATATATATATATATATATGTATATATATATATATATGTATATATTATATATGTATATGTATATATATATATATATATATATATATATATATATATATATATCGTATATTTATATATGTACTTATGTGTTTATATATGTGTATGTATAAATATATGTTTATATACATATGTATGTGTATATTTATGTATGTGTGTGTGTGTGTATACACATGTATATGTGATGCGAAGTTGCTGTCATGAGCTAATTCCAGGCTGGTGGAAAAAGCTCGCCAAAAGTGCACAAACCTCTTGGAGTGTGATTTGACTAATTTGGCAATTAGTAGGGGACTTATGCATTATTCCCATCAATAAACGAATGTGGAATGTAAGGTGTATTATCTGTAACTGGAAGAGTGCTGGCTACAGGGAGGACACCATTTCCATGTGCACCGTATTCTTGGCCGCTGTGACCAGAGTCGCAGTTTGTATTACGGAAAATTGAAAATTACGAAAATATGAGATATATGACACAAAACCAAATGTTCCATATTTTTTTCTACTACATAGAGAAGTGATATGGAGTCTGTGCAAGGAAAGTAAGCTATTAACATCAGGAGAAAGAAAATTAAAAGACAAATATGGACATTGGAAAATGGCAAAAAAGCTTAAAAAACCTACACAAAATAACTTTGCAAAGGGGAGGCACAGAGTCTTGTCAATGCTCATGGGTGTTTGCACCGCTTCCCTGAGATATTGGTCCAGTTGTGTCATGGAAATCACAGTGCCAAAAATACAGGTATTAAATTACACGAGTAGTCAACATCTCAGGCATTATATATCTTATTTTTACAAAATAATAAGGTATGTGACACAAATAACCAAATGTTCTATATTTTTTTTTCTTGCACAGAGTTATTTACTACATAGAGAGGTGATATGGAGTCTGTGCAAGGACAATAAGCTATTACCATCTGGATAAAACAAATCAAAAGACAAATATGGACATTGGAAAAAGCAAAAAAGCTTTAAACTTTGCAAAGGGGAGGCATAGTCCTATCACTGTTCATGGGTGTTAGCACGTACTTGGCCTATTCACTGTATACAGGCATTAGATTACGTAAGTAGCCAACATCCCCGGTGTGTGGCGCGTAGGCTGGGTGCATGCAAATTCCCATGAGCGGTGACAAGACTCTGTGCGTGCCCTTTGCTTAGTTATTCAATGTAAACTTTTTATCCTCTTTTTGCCATTTTCCAATGTCCATATTTGTCTTTTGATATGCTTTATCCAGATGGAAATAGATTATTTTTCTCGTACAGATTTTATATGTTAAATAACTTATCTTATTTTTTTGTAATTTCAAATTTTTGGAGTCGGCACTCTTCCAGTCTTGGCTTACCCACCTTACTTTCCACATTCATTTATTGGTGGGAATAATGCTAAAGCCAAATGAGTCAAATCACACTCCTAGAGGTTTGTGCACTTGTGGTCAGTCTTTTCCATAACCGTGACCTTCGCTCATGACGGCAAGTTTGCTTCACCCGGCCCTTGGCCATTTTACCCAGTAATAGCATGTTTATGTCACCTGGCCCTTGATCCAGATTTTTCCATTATGGGACTGTAATGTCATCCGGGGATAAGTAACCCACTGCCCGTATTTTTGCCACCGTGATTTCTGTGACGTAACTGGATCCAATGAGTTGAAGAAAAAAACTCATATTACTTCAAAATTATAATATATTTATAGTGTTGTTATACATAAGATATTTCTTAATCAACACTGGATGTGCGGTATCAAACTTTTATGAACTCTCCGGTTAACTTTATTTGTTTATTTATTTTTTGCTTTTGTAGATGGCATTATCCTTTTGTTTTTTTTTCTATTATTTGATTTTGAAAGAAAATTTACCTTAGAATATTCCTGTCTTTTTCTTACAGCTGTATGACCACTCAAAGGCAGCACCAGAATACATGATTGATGGTTGGAATGCCTGGTTCTTTAGAGAAGCTAAAGGCAAGACATTGGTAAGTCTTGTTTTTTGAATTTCATCAGATTTTTCCTTCTTTCTGTGCTGTGTTGGATAATAAACTCATTTAAATCAGGCTTACTATACATGAAGTCTAAGTATATGGGTAAAGAAACAAATCTTTTAAGTTCTTATCTTCTTACCTGAACAGGCCCAAAACTGGAAAGATTATGGGAAGAACCGTGACTCAGTGGGGCAACTGTGGGTCTCGATGCTGAGATACTATACGGAGACATTTAACTGGAAGGAGCATGTGGTGACGATCCGCCAGTATGCTCCTTTGACCCGCTTACAAAAGCTGTGGAATTCAAGGTGCATTGCCATCGAAGACCCCTTCGACCTCAGTCACAATTTGGGGGCAGGCCTATCTAGGAAGAGTAAGTAGCATTGCATATTTTTTGTGTGACTTGAATATAGATAAAATGTGAATTAGGTTATAGCCCCACCAAATCTGGCACATGTGTTCTGCCTGGTGAAAACAGTTCTATCTATCTGAACAAATGTCCGTCTCTGATTTGGCCTCACTGAAATACACAGATGATGAATAACTCATGGAGGCAGTGTGCAAGCTTTTGCTCCTTGACTCATTGGTAAATAAATCAGAAGTGTTTGAGAATAAAAGACTTCAGAATATTATACACTTGTGAAAGTTTCAAGTAATCTTTAAGTTGCTATTTTAGGTTGAATGCAAAGGTGTCCAAAACAGCATGTTTATGATGCAAAGGACTTTAAATTATGTAATTAACGAGTTTTGAATGGTAAATTAAAAGTGGTTGATTTGTGAGATAGTAAGTAAATTGGACATGCTTGTAAATACCTCAAAATCAGAATGTTTTGTTCCTTGTGCCTGCAACCTGTAGGTCAGTGCTGTGCATGTAACCGATGGGGACACGCATACGCACGCACGCATTCACACACACGCACTCACTCACACACGCATGCACTCACACATGCACTCACACATGCACTCACACATGCACGCATGCACCCACACATGCACAGACTCACACACGCATGCACAGACACATGCACTCACACACATGCACGCCTGCACCCACTCACTCTTACACATGCACGCCCGCACCACACATGCACCCACATTACACATGCACGCCTGCACCATTCACATGTACGCCTGCACCCACACACTTACACATGCACACCACACACTCTTTTACACACACATTCTCACACACACACACACACACACTCACACACACACACACACACTCTCACACACACACACACACACACACACACACACACACACACACACACACAACACACACACACACACACACACACACACACACACACACACACACTTCACACACTGTATATTCACACACACATATACCATTTGCACGCATGCATTACACATATGCATTCTTTCACATGTACGCCTGCACCCACACACTTACACATGCGTCACACACACACTCATAACACACACACACACACACACACACACACACACACACACACACACACACACACACACACACACACACACACACATATATATATATATATATATATATATATATATATATATATATATATATATATATATATATATATATATATATATATATATATATATTATATATATATATATATATATATATATATTATATATATATATATATATATATATATATATATATATATATTATATATATATATATATATATATATAATATATATATATATATATATGATATATGATATATGATATGATATATTATATAATATATACACATGTATATATGTATCCATGGACTTTGCTGTAAATGAGAACTAGCATGCTGACATCAGCTTGGTGCAGTGAAAGGCAGCTTAGAAAGGAACTGACTATTGTACTACATCATTCCACTGTTTAGTAAGCATGTTCCTCTATTACTTGTCCCATACATCTGCGTGGTTATGGGATCAACTTCGGATCTTTTCATTTTTAATTTATACGCTTATATATGGAAGTTCAAGTTTTATCAAAATGAAATACCTTACCAATTTCTCCTTTTTTCTTTTCCAGTGAATACATTCATCATGAAAGCACTTATTAGAGGGAGAGAGATATTTGGCACTCCAATTTCTACAACTCCCCCGGGCTACAGAGACCTTGTTGTGAGTTTTGTTTATTGATTGATGAATTGATTAATGAATTGATTAATTTTATTGATGTGTGGATGGAATGTAGTAAATGTTTAATGTTTAGATAATACCAAAGATTATTTTTTTTTGTGTGAAAAAAGAAAAGAAAAAAGTAAACGGCCCAATTGAAAGAGGGAAGAATAATCCCCCAAAAGGCATAGAGCTGATGGAATATATGGGTATTGTTAACATGGATGAAGAGAGCCTAAAGTAATTCTTTGTTTTATTTTGTCTATCTTTTCTGCACAGGACTACCTCTTTGACGCCAAGCACTTCACAGATGGTGCCCCACCCAACGACCGTGGCTGTCGCTTCTGTGGCAAGATTGGGCATGTGCAGAAGGACTGCCCCAAGAAAAAGCTTACGATGGAGCGACGGGAGAAAAAGGAGCGGCAGAAGGGACGGAGGGAGATGCGTAAGGTGGTTGAGGAGGAGAAGCCAGAGACACCTGAGTTCCACCCAGCTGAGGATGCCAAGGCGATGCCCCAGAACACCCAGGAGGCAGCAGGAGGAACAGAGAAGACGGAAACAGGGTCTGGAAGAGGTGGTGGAGGAGGAGCAGCAGGAGGGACAGGAGGTGGAGGAGGAGGGGGACAAGGAGGGGGAGGAGGCAATCTCCACGTGGCTTCAAAGGCACTTGAAGGTATTTCCCACTTTAGCATTCCTGCCAGTATGATGAGTGAGCATAGCCAGAATTGGGACTCTTGGCCTGAGTACCGTAAGATTGGGGAGATGGTGCTGGGCATGAGGCGAAACTTAGTTGATAAGTATGACCAGGGGAAGACAGATCCAGATAGGGTGGCTTGCAAGTGGGATCCACCCATTCCAGATGCAGAGTATGTGTGGACCTTTAACTTGAACAAAGCAATTAGAAAGAGATCTCGTGGCTCAGTGTTGTGTGCTAAATCCTCGGCCTATACTGTTTATAGCTTGATTTTTGATATTTTAGAGCAGCACCTCAGTGATGGCTCTGTTCCAGATGTAAGTAACTGTCCAGATATTTTAGAAAAAGAAGCAGAAATGCCTACTAATATTGGCCAAAGCCTTTATGAGAAGATGAAGGAAGCGGTACAGGAGCGCAGAATGAAGAAGAAGGAAAGGATGAAGGTCCGATATAGGCGTGAGATGGCTGGACCAGGCTATCAAAGGGGACAGAAGTTTGATACAGGGAAGAAGGCTGTCAGTACTGGGGGGAAAGGCAGTAAGACCAAGGAAGTGAAAGGCAATCAAGGCATCCAAGAGGATAAAAATTTGAGTAAAGACAACAGCACAAACAGACATGGTAACAAAAAACATAGGTCTGTCAACAAAGCAAATCAAGGGGATGGTAAGGTATCCCTTAGTTCAAGTGATGATGAGAATGTTGGTGACCAAAACTTAGCCAGAAAGAGAGCTAGAAGGAAGAGAACCAACAAAAGCAAAAGCAGTGCTCCTAAAAACAGAGATGCACAAAGAATCAGTGACCAAAACCTTATCAAGGTTAAAGAAGGTGCTATCAAAAGTAAGCACATCCCCCCAAATGACTACCCTCAGAGAATCATAAACCTGGGTCCTGAGAAGGAAATAATCACCATCACAACAGTGTATCAGAGGGCCAGTACTAAACCCACAACTCATGATGGAGAAGGGTTTTAAGTGGGTATAACGTCAGCCTTCACACTCTGTGCTGAAATATTTTCAATATATTCTGAGCAGCAATTCTATATGGTGTTGCCATTGGTGCTACTGGTCATGAGAGGTGGAAGAGAAGAGAGTGAAATGGCAAGGGATGGTTGAAATATCTGGATTTTGCTAGGCTCTTGAACAGTGGTTCTCAGACTAGATTCCATAATATATAAATTTTGTATCTAAATTTTAAGTTGTTATTCCTCTGGTAAGTATATATTTGTCAATTGATTATTTAACCTGGGTATATTTTGTTTTAATCAGAAACTCTTTACTGTAAAGATAAATTTGTATGTGTGGGGGGGTTAAAGAAGAGGATGCCACAGAAAGGACTGAGAGTTTAGATTGCCATCACTTAGAAGAGTTTAGGAACCACTGTTCTAGAATATCAAATAGTTTGATTTGTAATGAAAAGAGAGGGCTTTTGGTGCAGGAAGAAATTGCCAGATAGTTTTTCTTTTCTATCGAGTTTTAATGATTCTCAACTATGTCACAATTCAGATAGAGAATTTAAGACCTAATTAGAAAGGTTTGTTTTTGAAAGCACATATTGCAGGGGAGAGTTGGCATTGTATTATTGTTTTTGTGGTAATTTTGTAGTGAATATGAACTGCACTGTGATGTGTCTGCAAACAGTCTGGGTTGTTTTAGCATCTAGCACCCACATTTTTTGTTATTCTTGTTTTTTAATCAGTATTGCTCAGTCATGGATTGATAGATTGTTAAGTATGTATTTGGTTAGCAAAAACATATTTGTCTTAAGTAGTGCCTTATTTGAGGACAATATTTACTATGATTGAAGTGTGGACAAAATTCCAAAAGTTGCAGAGGTTGCTAATTTTATTTTTACAAAATATTTGGTGATGTATTTGAATCATTTGATCCTTCATGTTGATGAGCAAAGAGGTTGTGTGTCTCACTAGAGGTGATTCGCTTTTACTTCACATAAATGGTTCAGTGAAATTTACCGAGTATGATTATCGTAGGTCTAGCAGGTATTTGGATTGCCTTTTATTTTTATTTATTCTTCCAAATCTCGGCATGAGATTGCTCTGCTATTTTTTTATTTCTTTCAGAAAGTTATTAACTGTGGCTACATCTTAGGGAAAAGTAATTTTTCAAATTTTGTTTCACAGACTTTTCATATCTTAATCAAAATTATATAAGCCTCATGTGTTATTCTGATAAAAAATCAGAGACTTTATTTTATTGAGATTTTTTTTGTCTGATATGTTTGCTAATGTTTTTATATGATTAGATAATATATAAAAATATATATATTACAGAACAACATATGATTTGTTTGTTACAAAATGTGGGAGTATATTTTATACTTTTATCCTATTATTATATTTGTAATGATTAAATGTCTATAGCCCAAAATTTAATCCATTGTCATCGATTGACTTATGATAACAACAATTCTGCAAAGAATGTGGTTGAATTCTAAGAATAAAATAAAAATATTTGAGATATCTTTGAATTAAAACCTTTGATTAAGAATAAAAACAGAAAAGAAAAGAAAAGAAAAGAACAGTTGGTGACTCTGGATTTGGCTATTATCTCACAATATTAATGATAAGGTCTTTCACTTTCAAATTCTAGGCTAATATTTTTCCAAATTTATTCTGATTTATTTATTTTACCAAAGTAATCTGTACTTCAAAGCTATGAGAAAACTAAATGAGATAATACCTATTCCAGATGTCGCAACTGCCTATCCTGCGAAGCAGACAACTGCCTCAAAAGAGAACCTCCCACACACACCAGCCTGCAGCACAGCAAAATCCACGTATAATAGCAAGCCCAATGCGGCTCCGAGCAATGGCAGTTCAAAGTCTGTGAGTGGCAAAGAGTCTGGGCTAGAGAGCTGCCGGCCAGGAGAGCCCACGGGGAACACTTCCAAGGCCGACACAAAATGTGCCTCCACAACTCTGAGCAACCTAGTTATGAGTGATGCAGCCATCATTGGAGGATCATCCGGAAACAAAGCGGGAAATGGCATGATCCCCAACCTTGGGTCTGGGGAGTGGGCGAGTGGGAAGGGCCGGGGGGCCACACCAGAGGAGAAGTTCAGTGGCATAGGAGCTCCACCTGGATTCCACCACCTTGGGCACAAAAGTCAAGGACGCCCCATCCTGGAACAGATCAACCAAGGGCTGGGGGGACTTGGCAGTCAAGGATCAGGACATGCTAACCCAATGGCCAAGAGCCAGGGACAGAAGGCAGGGGTTCCAGGAGGGCAGAATCTCCCCTCTAACACCATGCAACAGCATCAGCATCATGGTAAGAATCAACCACAGCTTCCTCACCAGCAGGCACAACAGTCTCAACAGCAACCACAAAAGCAGCAGCAACCTCCACAGAAACAGGTACAACAGTCGCAGCAGAAGCAACAGCCAGGGCAACAGCAACCACAGCAACAACAGCAGAATTACTGGGAGAGTTGGATTAACAATGCACCACCTCAGTCGGTCCAGACAACTTCCAAGCAGGCTGGGCAGCAGAAACAGAGTCAGGGCATCCCTGCACCTGCAGTAGCAGCTGCAACTTCCTCCCATAGCCAGGCCACGACCTCCCAATGCCAGCAGCCACAGCAGCAACAGTACTACTATAGTATAAGCCCTGCAGCATTATTTCATATGGCAAGTCAAGCAGCAGCAGGAGGGCAGGTCAGTGCAGTGTTGATGCCCAATACGAGTGAGAGTAGCACCAGCAGAACGCCTGGCATGTCCGTATCCACAGCAACTTCGGCAGGCAATGGAGGTACCCAGAACACTGGGGGTAGTGCAGCCCCACCACCAGGATTCTCTGCTCCGCTTCCTGTCAATTTCCAGAATCAGCAGCAAGTTGATGGCATAACATACAACAAAATGATGATGGGCTCTCACCTGTACAGAAGTCCATCTCAGTCGGAGGGGCAGCCTGTGATACCAAACTCTCAGTCATACATCACCCCTGTTGCTCAGTCCCTGAGTGCTCCTGTTGCTGGAGTGTATGCAGTCCAACAGGGGTCAGGGGGTGGCCAGTTCACAAACATGGCACCCCAGGTAGCCGCACACACTCCACATGGTTTCAGTGAGTCGAACCTGAACCAGCAGCAGGTCCCCTTTGACACCCGACACTTCCTCTCACAGCAGGTGGCACAGGGTCTTCATCAAGGCCTGCCTCAGGGAGTATCACAGGGTGTTCCCCAGGGGGTCCCTCAAGGGGTACCCCAAGGAGTTCCCCAGGGAGTCCCTCAAGGTCTCCAGGGGGCTCCACCACCACCACCTCCTGGACTAGCCTCTTCTGTACCTCAAGGCCTTAGTCAGAATGTGCCACAAGGTGTGCCTCAAGGATTACATCAGAACATGTCAGCCGGAGTGCCACAGGTCAGCATGGGCTCAGCACTCTCAGGAGGCATGCAACCCATGCCGATGGGGCATCACCTGCAGCAGCACCATTACCCCCAGCCTGGCTTTCCTCAGCAGGGCTATCAGGTATGCTAATAACCTTTGCCATTCAGATTAGTTGTATTTTTTAAGATATATTAATAATTTTGTGTAATTGTGATAAAAAGTGACAGGCAAGGTTGATAGTGAGAAAGAGGACTATTTGGGGGGGGGGGGATTAGGAATTTTAATCTCTGTCCCTCTTATTCTCACTTGACAGAGATTTAAAAGCTTAGTTTTGGGTGCGTTGTTTTGATTAGTTTGAGTTCTTTGTTGAAGAGGGTGATAATGAGGGTGTTTTCAGTCCTTGCTCGGAACTCGGTTAAGGATGTCAATGAATACAGTGGTTAGGGTCCGTCAGTTCCCTTTTTTATTTTAATTGTGTGTGTGTTTATGTTCTAGCTTTCCAGATTGTAAACTTTTAGTTTGTGAAATAATTTTATTTTGTCATGGTTCTCACTCTTATGTGAAAAGTAAGCAAAGATTTTTAAAATCAGACCATTCCCATCTTCATCACTCAAACTTAATGTCAAGAGTAACAGCCAGAAGGAAAAAATGTGAAATGAGATATTTGCATTTGAAATTTTACTTCTTAGTAGTTTCTCCAATCAGTATCTACATTAAAGCTGTTATTGTCAATGAAAATGAAAAATTAACATATTAGTTTTCGAGTTCATCAGAAGGTAAATAAATGTCTTTCTGCCTTTGCTCAGTTCATATTTTTGTACTGATAAATATATTACTATAAGCATGTTTCATTCAGATATTTATGGCTTCTCTTTAATTTTGTCTTGTAGTCATGTTAAAGCTCTCCAAAATTTCACGTTCAAAATGAAAATCCATGTATCGCATGGAGAAATTTTCTGTCGGGGACAAACAATAAACCGCTACATGTTTCCTATACCTGGTAACGCTGTGTTATCTCAGGCTGCCAAAAACTACTGTTGTGCTGCAGCTAGTAGTCAGCACATAATCATTATATAGATGACATTTAATCAACATATAGTCTAATATGGGGGAAGCAACACAAAAATTGGACCTGTATCCTCCAGTAAAACACAATAACTACATGAGAGAGGAAAATGTAACTCATAAAATGAGTCTTCTGACCTCCAATGTGAAATAGGCTATAATTTGACTGATTTATGATGTATTGTTAAAAGGAATTTCAGCAACTAGTGACAATATATATGTAGCCATATCATTTATTATATATGACCATAAATTCTGAACATCGGTGTTTATAAAACAGAATTTCCAGCATTAAAATATGTTTCAAAATATGTATTCTCAAAATCACATTCTTGAAGATATATATATAATAAAATATTATATCTATTAATAGTATGACTTCCAGTATGTCAGTATTTTTATGATATTCATGAATAACGTATTTATTTTTAATTATGTTAACCATGAGTATTCTCATTACTATTATTTTTAGTGTCTATTATTTTCATAATATCATTATTACTACCATCTTCTCCTCCTCCTCTCCCCCCTTCTCCTCCTCCTCCTCTCCCCCTCTCCCCCTCCTTCTCTCCTTCCCTCTTCTCCCCCCCTCTCTCTCCTCCCCCTCCTCTCCCCTTCCCCCTCCTTCCTCCCCTCCTCCTCCTCCTCCTCCTCCTCTCCTCCTCCTCCTCCTTCCTCCTCTCCTCCTCCTACCTCCTCCTCCTCCTTCTCTCTCCCCTCCTCCTCCTCCCTTCTCTCCCCCTCTGCCCCTCCTCTCCTCTCTCCTCCCTCCTCCTCCCCTCCTCCTCCTCCTCCTCCTCCCTAACAACGGGTGTCCCACATATGAGACACCTGAAAAAATAAACATTGCCGGGCGTCCCGCCAGTGTAACGCTGTCTTGGGGCTCACGCTCCGACCCAGCAGTGGGCAGAGTCCAGGCCAGCCCAGCACCCTGATTTTGTAGCCGCCCGGAATCTTTTATTTTCGGCTTCAGAATATACCGGCTTTAATGGGTTAAAAGAGTATTGTTTGACAGTCTTATACTGACTACTAGCTGCAGCATGGCAGTAATAGTTTTTGGCAGTCTCACATACCACAGTGTTACCAGTTGCAAGCATACCTGCAAGTGACTGTGCTATGAGGTTGACCTTTCATTGGTCCCCAACTGTACA